TTGGAGGTCTCTTGGGCCGTCTTGGGGCCCTCTTGGAGGCTTCTTGGGCCGTCATGGGGCCCTCCTGGAGGCCTCGTGGGCGATCTTCGGGCGATCTTGGCGGCCTCTGGGGCCGTCTTGAGCCGTCGGAATGCCGAGAAGAGGCAAATGCCCAAACTCCTTCGAAAATCTAAGGAAAATCAATAATTTTGGCCTCTTCGGGCCCTCCTGGAGGACCTCTTGGAGACCTCTTTGGCCGTCGTGGGCCGTCTTGAGGCTTCTTGGGTGAACTTGGAGGTATCTTGGACCCTCTTGGGCCGTCTTGGAGGCCATCTTGGACCATCTCTGGCGGACTTGGAGGCCATCTTGGACCATCTTGGAGGCCATCTTGGGCCAACGTGGCCATCTTGGAGGCCATCGTGGACCATCTTGGAGGATTTTTTCCGGATTGAGGTCCTTGGCAATCTTTCCGGATGGCCGGCGGGACGGGCCGAAGCTCCAGGAGGAGTTCTTTTGGAAAAAGAACCAAAACCAAAACCGAGAGGGTTCAGCACGCCAGGCACCCCTGCGATGAATCGACAGGGGGCGGCGGATCGAAGACGCCTACGGCGAATCACCGCCGCCCCCTGCCTTTGTGGAAGCGCCTATGTGGCCGAACGTTGAGGCCAGACCTGCCAAGCCATCGGACCATGTGTTCCCCGAATCGGTTTGGAAAGCCTTCGGGGAACACGTGGGCGTCTTGATGGTCATCGTCGCCGTCTTGGAGGCCTCTTGGGCGATCTTTCGGCGATCTTTGGGGGCTCTTGGGCCGTCTCGGGCCGTCGGAAGGCCGAAAAAAGGGAAATGCCCAAATCCATCAAAAACCTTGGGAAAATCAGTGATTTTGGCATCTTTTGGCCTTCCTGGAGGCCCTCTTGGGGGCCTCTTGGGCCCTTTTGGGCCAGCTTCGAGCCAACTTCGGCCATCTTGGTGGGTTCCTGGCACGTCTGACGCCGTCGGGAGCCGTTTTGGGGGCCTTTCTGGGCCAACGGGGGACCCTCTTGGGGCGCTCCAGGGCCGTCTTGGAGGCCATCTTGGGCGTCTTGGAGGCCATCTTGGGCGTGTTGGAGGCCTCTTGGGCCGTCTTGGGGCCCTCTAGGGGCCATCTTGGAGGCCACTTGGGCCATCAGGGGGCTCTCTTGGGGGCCTCTTGGGCGATCTTGGGGGCTTCTTGGGCCGTCTTGAGCCGTCGGAGAGCCGAAAAGGCGCAAATGCCAAAATCCTTCAAAAACCAAGGGAAAATCAATGATTTTGGCCTCTTCGGACTCTCCTGGAGGACCTCTTGGAGGCCTCTTGGGCCGTCTGGGAGGCCTCTGGGGGGCCTCTTGGGCCGTCTTGGGCCGTCTTGGACTCTCTTGGGCCGTTTTGGAGGCCGTCTTGGACCATCTCGGGCGGACTTGGAGGCCATCTTGGGCCATCTTCGCGATTTTTTGAGGATGTCCCGAGCGAAACGGCCGTTTTTGGAGGATTTTTTGCAGTCGTTGAGCACGTTTGGGGAAATTCCGGGTGGCCGGCGGGTTCTGCCGGAGCCCACTGGGAAGTTCTTTTGGAAAAAGAACCAAAACCAAAACCTGAATCATCCAGCACGCCGTGCACCCCTGCAAGCAGGGGGCGGCGGATTTAGTGGCCTTCGGCCCATCCCGCCACCGTGCCTAGGTTGTGGGTCAGCTCTCAGGGATGCTTCATCTGGTCTCGTCGGAGCGCTCTCGGGGGCCTCTTGGGGGCCTCTTGGGGTCTTCTGGGGTGCCCCCCTAGGGGCTCTTGGGGCCTTCTGGGGCTAGGGCTCGAAATGTCTGCTCGTGTGCTCCATCTGGGCCCCCTCTTGGGGCCGTGTTGATGCCCTCTTGAGCCGTCTTGGGCCCCCCCCTCTTGGGTCGTCCTGGGATCCTCTTGGGCCGTCTTGGTGCTCTCTTGGGGGGCCCCTGGGGCCGTCATGAGGCGATCGTGGGGGCCTCGTGGGCCGTCTTGGAGCGTCGGGAAGCCGAAAAGGCGAGAAGGCCTTCAACAATCTAAGGGGCATCCATCTTTTGTTGCCTCTTGGGGCCCTCTTCGGAGGCCTCTTGGCGCGTTTTTAAGGCCTGTTAGGGGCCTCTTGGGCCGTGTTGAGGCCATCTGGGGCGTCTTGGAGCGATCTTTCGTCTCGAGTTTTTTGGATCATCTCGGGAGTCTCTTGAGGCCCTCTTGGCCCGGCCGGGGGCCTTCTTTGGCCAGGAGAAGTCACGCGGGGAGACGATCCAAGGCCCTGGGGACATGCGACAAGTCCAAGATGATTTGGCACTTCGGGCTCCGGGCCCCTTAACAATCCTTAAGATCAAGGATTGAGGCTCAGCGGAATGGGCAACCGACTGGGGGACACGCCCACTCCGTGCCCAGCGGCTCGGTGGAGGACTGATGATGATGATGATGGTGGTGGTGGTGATGATGATTATGATGCTGCTGCTACTCATGATGATGATGATGATGCTGCTGCTGATGACGAGAATGATGATGATGATGCTGATGATGAGTATGATGCTGATGCTGATAATGATGCCGATGATGATAGTAGTGTTGGTCATGCTGATGATGAAAAGATGATGTTGATGCTGCTGATGATGATGATGGTTGTGGTCGTGGTGCTGGGATGGTGATGATGCTGATTATGCTGATGATGATTATGCTGATGCTGATGCTGCTACTGCTGCTGGTACTGCTGCTGCTAATGCTGGTGATGATGCTGATGATGATAACGATAATTATGATGATGCTGATGATGATGCTGCTGCTGATGATGATGATGCTGATGACGATGCTGATGATGATGATGCTGCTGATGATGATGATGTTAATGATGACGATGGCAATTATGCTGATTTGATCGTGATGCTGATGATGATGCTGCTGATGATGATGCTGCTGCTGCTGACGATGATGATCATGCTGATGATGATGATACTCATGATGATTATGATGGTTATGACGATGACGATGCTTCTGATGATGATGACGATGATGACTATACTGCTGCTGATGATGCGCTGCTGCTGGTGATGATGCTGATGCCGATGATGATGCTGATGCTGATGACGATTATGCTCGTGATGATGATGCTGCTGATGATGATGATGGTGATGAGGATGATGCTGGTGTTGATGCCGATGCTGATGCTGATGATGCTTATGATGATCATGATGATGCTGATGATGATGGTGATGATACTGATGATGATGACGATGCTGCTGCTGCTGATGATGACGATGACTAATCTGATGATGCTGGTGATGATCATGATGATGCTGATGCTGCTGCTGCTGATGATGATGCCGATGATGATGCTGATGCTGATGATGCTGCTGCTGCTGATGATGATGATGATGATCACGATGACGACGATGATGATGAGGATTATTATGATGATGCTGCCGATGATGATGATGCTGATGCTGAGGATGATGTGGATAATGATGATACTGCGGCTGCGACTGCTGCTGCTGATGGTGATGCTGCTGATGAAGCTGATGATGCTGATGCTGCTGTTGCTGCTGCTGATGATGATGATGCGGACCAGGATGATGATGGTGATGAGGACCAGGATGATGATGATGATGATGATGATGATGATGATGATGATGATGATGATGATGATGATGATGATGATGGTGGTGATGATGATGATGCTGATGCTGATGCTTATGCTGATGATGATGATGATGACGATGATGATGATGATGATGATGATGCTGCTGATGATGATGTTGTTGTTGATGATGATGATGATTATGATGATGATTATGATGATGATGATGATGATGATGATGATGATGATGCCGATGCTGATGATGATGATGATGATGATGATGATGATGATGATGACGCTGATGATGATGATGATGATGCTGATGATGATGATGATGATGATGATGATGATGATGATGATGATGATGATGATGATGATGATGATGATGATGATGATGATGATGATGATGATGATGATGATGATGATGATGATGATGATGATGATGATGATGATGATGTGATGATGATGATGATGATGATGATGATGATGATGATGATGATGATGATGATGATGAGATGATGACGATGATGATGATGATGATGATGATGATGATGATGATGATATGATGATGAGGAGGAGGAGGAGGAGGAGGGGAGGAGGAGGAGGAGGAGAAGTTGTAGGAGGCGGAGGAGGAGGAGGAGGAGGAGGAGGAGGAGGAGGAGGAGGAGGAGGCGGAAGAGGAGGAGGAATCGGTGGAGGACGAGGAGGGGGAGGAGGAGGAGGAGGAGGAGGAGGAGCGGGAGGAGGAGGAGGAGGAGGAGGAGGAGGAGGAGGAGGAGGAGGAGGAGGAGGAGGAGGAGGAGGAGGAGGAGGAGTCGGAGGAGGAGAGGAGGAGGAGGAGGAGGAGGAGGAGGAGGAGGAGGAGGAGGAGGAGGAGGAGGAGGAGGAGGAGGAGGAGGAGGAGGAGGAGGAGGAGGAGGAGGAGGAGGAGGAGGAGGAGGAAGAGAGGAGGAGGAGGAGGAGGAGAAAGAGGACGAGGAGGAGATGATCTGCGGGTCCAGAGGTCCACAGTCCGCCCAGGCTGGCCACACTTCGGATGCCGACCCTCGAGGGGTCTCCCCAGCCTGCACGCCGTGGGCTCGTTCGTCTTTTCAAGTCGGGCCCATCGAGCGCGGACAGGTCGCACCGAGCCTGGCTGGCCTGCTCGCAGCATGCTGGGAACACTTCTTGCAAGCCATGAGGGCGTCGCCCACCTCGGCCCGAGGAGGTAGGAAGGAACAGGGGGAGGAGGAGGAGGAGGAGGAGGAGGAGGAGGAGGAGGAGGAGGAGGAGGAGGAGGAGGAGGAGGGAGGAGGATGAGGGATGAGGGACATGGATGTGGGTGGAGGGAGGGGGGAAGGGAGGAGCTAGGAGGAGGGAGGATGCGTGGGGGATCAGGGTGGAACAGGGCAGGCCGTCGAGGGAGGAGGGAGCCGGGCAGCAGCCGAGGCTGCGGTCAGTTTCGCCTGCGCGCTCATGGTGCCCTGGTTGCTATCCGCGTGCAGCCGCAGGGACGGCCCTGGGGTGGGCAGCCTCCTCTAGGTCCCTTTGCCGGAAGGTTTTATTACATTCCCCATTCATTGCCTGCACGGACGGGGTCCTCACGGAGGTTGTGCGGATTTGGTGAAAGTTTTTCGCTAATGTCTGTAGGCGGCCTGGTTCCTGGTTCAAGGGTTTGGGTTCCCAGTGATGTAAGGCTTTGGCGAAAGCGTGCCGCAGATTTCGGTAGGCAGCCGGGCTCCCATTTTCCAGGTTTTTTGGTTCCTGCCGATTCTGGTGGGCGGCCAGGGTCCCGCCGATTCTGGTGGGCGGAGGAGGAGGAGGACGAGGAGGACGAAGAGGGGGAGGAGGAGGAGGACGAGGAGAGGGAGGAGGAGGATGACCAGGAGGAGGAGGAGGAGGAGAAGCAGGAAGGGATGGTGGTGCTGATGGTGAGTGCCCACTTATCCTCCATTTGGAAGCTTCCAGAAGTGAAGGCCCTGGTGGGCTTCAGGACTCGTGCTCGCGTTGGGTTAGACAATCTTGATCAGTGTTGTTGTGGCGCCCCGTCTCGGAAATCGCCGACGTGGTTGGTCATTAGTACCTCGGGCCTGCCTGGATGGGGTAAGTGCTCCTGCAGTTTCCACAGAGTTGGACTAGTTGGTACTGGCGTTTCGGGAATTTTCAAGACTGCTGTGGCCAAGCAGTACCCTTCCCGTATGTCCGAACTGTTGGCGCAGGCATGTTGACCTTCTCGGGTCTTGCTACCGTCTTGTGCTCGTGGGGTTTGTGATGTTCGGCCTTGGTTTCATGTGCCGTTCGGTCCGTATCACAGCCAACACGGATGGGATAAGTTTGCTCCCGACGTGCATGGATCTGCTTGGGTATAGGCCGCTTGCTCTCTCGCTGTCTCTCTCTCTCTCTCTCGGGTTCTTTCTCTTTCAGCTTCATGCTTCAGTCGGTGAAGGAAAAAAGGACGAGGGACCAGCTTAAACCCAAGACTCATCGACGATCTTGCAATTACCCCCCCGTCCAAGTTTCCTCTTCATAGGCCCCTCACACGGGTTTATTTTCAGGGAGGGAAGCGCCCCCTTGGAAGACAACCGTCCGGACATCCGGAATTGCATCATAATGCCATTCCTGGGACACCAACGGCGCCAATCACCTATACTGCTGGATCTTGACGATCATAGATCGCGCCAGAAGGCCGTGTCTGGGATTTGAGCACCGCGAATCGAGGTGACCGTTGCGCCCTGATATCCCGACCTCGCGCCGAAGCATTGGTTCTGGCACGTTAGCCATGATTATCTTTGAAGCTTTTGCAAATTTGTTCACACGAATGTGCGCGGCGCACAGGCGACAGTTACATAATAAGAACCGCCTTGCGTCCGTGAAACTCTGGCAACTTTGTAAGACAAATGTGCGCGGCGCTAAGGCGATAACCACATCTTGAAAACGTGCCGCACGCCTTCCGCGAACCTCTTTTACGAACTTCTAGAAGCGAGTGTGCGCGGCACTAAGGCGATGGCCACATTTCGGAAACGGGCCACCCTCCATCCGTGAGGTTTCTGCAAACCTTCAGCGTTGGGGTCACAGATGGCGAGGTAGTCTCAGGCGACATGTCGGGCCTGCCATTTCGACAGGCCTCGGGGTGCGACCGGGAGTAGCTATCTATAAAGAGAAGAGATGGAGGAGGAAAAGGCGGAGGAAGAGGAGGAGGAGGAGGAGGAGGAGGAGGAGGAGGAGGAGGAGGAGGAGGAGGAGGAGGAGGAGGAGGAGGAGGAGGAGGAGGAGGAGGAGGAGGAGGAGGAGGAGGAGGAGGGGAGGAGGAGGAGGAGGAGGAGGAGGAGGAGGAGGAGGAGGAGGAGGAGGGGAGGAGGAGGAGGAGGAGGAGGAGGAGGAGGAGAGGAGGAGGAGGAGGAGGAGGAGGAGGAGGAGGAGGAGGAGGAGGAGGAGGAGGAGGAGGAGGAGGAGGAGGAGGAGGAGGAGGAGGAGGAGGAGGAGGAGGAGGAGGAGGAGGAGGAGGAGGGAGGAGGAGGAGGAGGAGGAGGAGGAGGAGGAGGAGGAGGAGGAGGAGGAGGAGGAGGAGGAGGAGGAGGAGGAGGAGGAGGAGGAGGAGGAGGAGGAGGAGGAGGAGGAGGAGGAGGAGGAGGAGGAGGAGGAGGAGGAGGAGGAGGAGGAGGAGTAGGATGAGAAGGAGCAGGATGGCAAGGATGAAGAGGATGATGATGCGGATGAGGAAGAGGAAGAAAGGGGGCAGAAAGAGGAGGAGGAGGAGGAGGAGGAGGAGGAGGAGGAGGAGGAGGAGGAGGAGGAGGAGGAGGAGGAGGATGGGGATGAGGAGGAGGAGGAGGAACGCCGTCACAAGTGATGCCATTCATCTTCCCTTGACGACGAGCCCGCGTGGACCTGGGCTGGGTAATTTTTGGGCCTCTTGTGTGCATCTTGGAGGCAGTTTTTGGCCCTCTCAGCGGCTTCTTTTGATTTCATTGGCGCCTCCTGTGCACGTTTTGGGGAGGAAGTGTCGAACTGTTTGTTCGTGTTCCCACTCTTGGACTGGAGCCCTCTTGGGCTGTCTTGGGGTGCGGCACTGGTGCGGGGTTCTTCGATCGTCTTGGGGTTCTCTTGGGGCCTCTGGGGCTGTTTCTTGGGGCGTGGGGAACTTGAAACATGCCATAAACATCAACACAGCAAAATGGGCATGCATAAATTTTGCCTCCCGAGGCCCCCGGGGGACGGCTATTGGGGCTCTCTTGAGACCTCTATCGGGCTCTTGGTCCATCGTGGGAGTCGCTGCGAGGCTTCTGGGGCCTCCGCGGCGTCCAGAAGAAGGTGGTCGGCTGGCCGGGCAGGCCCGGTAGACCGTCCGAAAAGTGCCGGGGGGCGGACCGAAAATTGTCCTTTGAGTTTTGGGGAAGTGGATGGGCGGGGGGGGCGGCCACTTATGTTTTTGTTGTAGAAGAGGTAAAAGGAATGTGCATTCATTGTATCCTATTTTTGTGTTGTTCTTCCGTGCAGGGTGTTCTAGGCCTCCTAGATGGGGTCGGAGTAGATGGGGTCGGAGGATCGCGCCGCATCGCCGATGCATCGGCGATGCATCGGCGATGCATCGGCGATGCGGCTCGATATGGGGCCCAGTTTTCTCCACGCCGACGTCGCGGATGTATCGCCGACGTCGCCAGTGCATGGCCGATGCATCGGCGATGCATCGCTGATGTATCGGCAATGCGGCGAGATCCTCCGACCCCATCTACTCGGACCCCATCTAGGAGGCCTCTAGGGTGTGCAATTCTAAGACTATGTCTGTCTGTATGCCTGTATGTGTGCATGTATGCATGTATGTGTAGATGGCTGTCTGTCGGTCTGTCTGTCTGTCTGTCTGTCTGTCTGTCTGTCTGTCTGTCTGTCTGTCTGTCTGTCTGTCTGTCTGTCTGTCTGTCATGTCTGTCATGTATGTATGTATGTATGTATGTATGTATGTATGTATGTATGTATGTATGTATGTATGTATGTATGTATGCATGCATGCATGCATGCATGCATGCATGCATGCATGCATGCATGCATGTATGTACGTATGCATGTATGCACGCATGCATGTATGCATGTATGTATACATGTATGCATGTATACATACATGTGCATATGCATGCATGCATGCATGCATGCATTCCTCTTCCTATATTTTCATAAGCCCGGGCGGGGGGAAAACCCATCACTCCCCCCCCTAAAACCGGACCCCCGGGATCTGGAGCTTTGGGACCCTCCGGACGGACCTCGAAGCGGCCCCCTGGGCCTCGCAGGGCGTTTTGCCAAGCCTTCGAAGCACACTCAGGGCGATCAGGGGGGTCACCGGAGACGTCCCAGAGACCCCCAAGACAGCACAAGAGCGCTCCAAGAAGCCGTCATACCCCGAAAGATCGCTCCAAAACGTATCAAGAGGCCTCCAAGAGCACCCCCAAGAAGGCCCCAAGAGGGAAACAATATAGATTCTATGAAGTTTTTTGGTGCATCTGGGGTTCTCCTCTTTTCGGCTTCCCGACGCTCCAAGACGGCGGTCTCCTAGGCGTCCGAAGCCGCCTGGGAGGCTCCAAAATCGCCCCACAAACATCCGAAAGGGCTTCCAGGCAGTCCAAGAGAGCCCCAAAACGGCACAACAGGGGTCCAAAATGGCCCTAAGAGAGCACCATGGAGGCCCAAGATGACCCCAAGACATCCTCCGAAGCATTCCAAATCGTGACTGGGGCGTTCAGGGAGACCGCGGTTAGAGGCAGGTTGGCCCTAGGAAGCCCCAGAGGCCCCCAGAACACACCCAGGCGGCCTCCAGAAGGCTTTAAGAAAGCCTGAGAACTTTGGTGAGGCCCCTAGAGGCTCGGAGCCTCCGCAAAAAGAGCTGAGGAGGATGGGGAGAATGCCCAGGGTATGGCGAGAATGAGGAAAAATAAGCATGGAGGAAGGACAACGAACAACATTATTATAACGGCGATGCCAGAAAAGGCAGCAAGGAGTTATCGCTAATTTGTCGGCTTGACCTTCCTGCCATTTCCGCCTGTATACCAAAATCCAAGGACCAAGGTGCATGGCGCGAAGCGCCACTGCAGTCTTGTATATATATATATATATGTATATATACATATGCATGTCTGCATATACTTACGTACGCATGTCTGTCTGTCTGCCTCTTTGTCTGTATGTATGTCTGTCTGTATGTACGTATGTGTCTGTATGTATGCATGTACCTATGCATGGATATATGGATGTATGTATGCATGTATATATGTACGTATGTATGCATGCCGGTATGTGATGTTCTGTGTGTATGTATGCATGTATGTATACATGTATGTATGCAACCATGTATGTTGTATCTATGTATAGATGTATGCATTTACGTATGTATGTATATTTGTCTGTATGCACATACGTACGTATGCATGTATGTAGGCGTACACATGTCTGTGTGTACGTATGCATGTACGTATGCATGTATACATGTATGTATGTATGCATTCATGTATGTATGTATATGTGTATGTATGTGTGCACGTTTTGCATGTACTTACGTATGCACTTATCATATTTATGTATGCATGCATGCATGCATGTATGTATGTATGAATGCATGTATGCATGCATGCATGTATTCGTGTATTCGTATGTATACGTGTACGTACGTACGTATGTATGTATGCATGCACGTATGCACGTATGCATGTACGCATGCATGCATGCATGCATGCATGCATGCATTTATTCAAGTGTGCATATATACATGTATGCATACATGTAGTTCTGTATGTGTGTATGTATGTATGTATGTATGTATGTATGTATGTATGTATATATGTACGTATGTCTGCATGCATGCATGCATGCATGCATGCATACATATCTACATGTATGTACGCATGTATCTATGTATGTATGTGTGCGTACATCTGTACATATTCACATGCATACACATATACGTGTGTGCATACTCATTCACATACAGTGGCCCTTTTGGCAACGTACCTGGGTCTTGCAAGTTCGGCATGATAGCGGAATTCAAAAATAACACTGACTCAGGCAAACAAGGGTAGCTTCCGTTGCCGTTTTCGCCGTCGTCGTTATGATGTTTGTTTCTTGTTCCTTCCCTCATATTTCATCGTTCCTTTGGTCGCCCTCGCCCTACAGAACCGAACCTTTCCACATCTTTGCTCTTCGCTGAGGATACTCCTTGAAAGCTTCTTGGGGACCAAACGAAACCTTCATGGATGCTTTTTGGCTGCCTCTCAGGGCTTCCTCGGGCCTCCTTGCTGCGAACCACGGTCTCACCAAACGACAAGGTCACGATTTGGAACGCTTCGGGAGTCGTCTTGGGGCCATCTTGGGCCGTCATGGGGCCCTCTTCGGGCCTTCTTGGAGCTATGTTGGGCCGTCTGAGAGCTCTCTATGACTGTATGCAGGCCCTTGGGTCGTTTTGGACTCATTTTCTGAGCCCCTTGGGAAGTCTCGGACACCCAGAAAACAGGACAACAGAGTATCAACCAATTCATACAAACACCATGGACCGATATTTATTTGTCGGGGTGGAGGGCCTCTTGGCGGTGTTCTTTGGCCCGTCTTCGGGCTTCTGGTGGGCATCTGGGGCCGCTTGGGGCTCTCGCGGGGCCGTTGGGCCACCCTCATGACCGCTTTGGGCCCGTCGGCTAGGCGCGCTCAGGAGGCCCGGAAGTTCCGGGGTCTTTCTGCAAGTGCGTCCAGGGGGTCCCTGGGGCCAGGGGTCCAGGAGGGGGCTGCTGAGCCGCTTCCGACAGAGCGCCCAGCGCCACATGTTGCTGCTTTTCCTCATCACGCCGAGACACGCGGTGAGCTTCCTAATTGCTGCCGCGGACATCGTCGGCTTCATTTTCACGCGCTTCATGTTCGCGCCAAGGTTTTTTCACCTGGGCCCGCCATTTATCGCCTTCCTGGGGGAGATGAGCTGGGGCGCCACTCGTTCACTAAATTGCGTGTTGTTGCGACGGCCGCGGACTGCTTCATTCACAGCACAAGCATCCTGATTTGGGCCACCATTGCCTTAATGCTTATTTTGCTACGCGTGTTCCCCGTCCTGCTGGTGCCCACGGCGCGCTTCGTCTACTGCCTGATTCTTAGGCTTACGCCACACCGCCGACCCCTTGTTTATGCCAATCTGGGGGTAGTAGAAGCTGCGAAGGGGTGAAAAGGCGAGTGATATTTGTTTGGTGTCTGTTCGCCGCCACCGCCAGAGGGTCTCGGGCAGTTCCGCGGGGAGGTCCGAGCGGACAGCGACACTGCGAGTTTTGGAGCCACTCGGGGGCCGTTTCGGAGCCTCTGGGGTGCTTCTTGGGGGTTCCTTGGGGCGTCTGGGCGGCCTCGTGAGGGCCTCTGGGGGCCTCTTGGGGCACTCTTGGGGCCCCCTGGGGCTCCTGGGGGCAGAAAGCTAGAGTTTCAACATGTTTGGTCGCCCTCTTGGGCCCCTCGTGGTGCCGTCTTGGAGCCCTCTTGGGCCGTCTTGGGGACCTCTTGGGCCGTGTTGGGGCCCACTTGGGAGCCTCTCGGGTCGTCTTGATGCCGTCTTGGGGGCTTCTTTCGCCGTCTTGGAGCGTCGGAAGCCCGAAAAAACGCGAAGGCCAAAAACGTTGAAAAAACCAATGGAAATCGACGATTTTGGCCTCTTGGGGCCATCTTGGGAGGCGTCTTGGAAGCTTCTTGGGGCGTCTTGGAGGCATCTGGGGCCATCTGGAGGCCATCTTGACCGTCTTCGAGTGTTTTTTCGGCGACTCGGGGCCCTCTTGGACCGTCTGCAGAGCTTCTTGGGAGCCTCTTCGCTCGTTTGCGGCCCCCCCAGCAGACTCTCTGGAGCGGATGACCCCCCCCGGACCGCGCCGGCGGATCCCGGGGAATCCGGCCGGACCCCCCCCCCCCCCCCTCCAAAACGACCGGACCAGGCTCCGGGTCCTTTTCGACGGTCCTTTCGTGAGGCCGTGCCGCCTCCCGCGTGAGACTCTCACGGAACCGCTCGTCCAGCCGAGAGGCCCTCCTGCGTGGGTGGCGCCTCGTGCGCATACCACGACGACGCCGACGCCAGCGGGCCTCGTGCGTGAGCCGAACCTTTGGGGGCGCCACGCCGCCACACCTCCCTTGGAGGACATTCCCGAGGTCCACGCGCGCGACGCCCAGGCGCACTGTGCCGCTCCCTGCGCGTCGATCCCTGGGCGGTGCCCATGTGGCGCCTTTTCCCGCATGGCCCGCTGCGGGCGCGCTCGCTGCGCAGCACTGGCCCTCCACGTGCTTGTCGTGCTGCTGTGTCTTGCAGACTTCCGCCCTCCGGTATTTCCCTCCCTTCTCTACACCTTGTGTTGGTGGCCAGCACTTCGGCCACATTCGCCGGACAACGCTTTGCGAGTCTCACCCGAGTCCGGGGCTATTGCTGTTTTTCTTTCTGTGCGCGGTTGTCAGGATAGCCCTCTTGAAGGGCAGCGGATTCCTCCTTCTCCCTTGCCTCTGTGCCGTTGAAAAAAAAGAATTGGTCCATCAGGCGCGCCGCTCCGTCCATGTCCGAGGGACGCGTCACGCCGTGCCCTGGCCCTTGCCCATGCGTGCACGGGTTTTACCTCTGCTGCCGGTCTCGCCCTCTGGCAGTCGGCGCCCCCAGGCCTCGAGGGTCAGCAGAGGGCGTGCGGCCTCCCCCCCCCGCGACCGCGGGCAGGGAACAAAGTCAGTGCAAGAGGAAGGAATGGGAGTCCTGGGATGTCAGGTGTGGCGCGAGCGCACCCAGCTCGCCCCCACCCACCCCTCCCCTGCCCCATCCCCCCCCATTTCTCAGGGAGTCGGGGGGGGGTCGCAGCTCCTCCCCAGCGGCAACTGGAAGGAGGGTGCCGGGCAGGCCGCTCGCAGCAGAAGCCCTCCCTCGCGGCTGGAGCGCGGCACGGAGGCCCCACGGGGTGGGAGGGGCGGGGGCCTCTCTTGCAGGGGCCTCGAGCGCAAGCCGCGCTTCGCGCATCGCGGCTTGGGCCGGAGAGGCGCCCTCCTCCAGGGAGGCGGCGCGAGGGCGCGAAGAGAACAGCGCGTCGCGCATCGCGGGGCGCGATGCGCGAAGTCAGGTGCTCTTGAAGGGAGGGCGGAGTGAATCTTTCGTGCACGTATAGAGGGTCGAGGTCATCGGGCGTTTTCGGCTGTCGCAGAGGTCTTGCGGCTAGCTGCGCCGACGCTGAAGGGATGCCAGCAGTGTCGTCACGGGCGGGATTGGGTGCGGGAGGAAAGGGGCGGCAGGAGATGCCAGAAGGGCGGCATGGAGCAAAGGCGCAGCAAGAGCAAGTGGCACGAGAGGAAAGGGCGGCGGAATGGGTTCAACGGGCAGCAGGGAGGCGAGCAGTGTGGGCCCGTTTGGGTGCAATCTGCCCAGGAGTTCTTTTGGACCGTCCGGGGGCCCTTTCGATTTTGCTGGGGACTTTTTCGGGCCCTCGGGTTGTCTTGAGGCCCTCGACAGCTTTCCCGAATCTATCTTTTCTAAGGTTTTGAGTGTAGCCTTCTGCAGATCCCGACACCGCGCCTGTGTTGTCTGGCTGAGGCTTGTTGGATGCCTCTTCGTTCGTTTCTCATGCGGAGCCTCTTGGGGGTCTCTGGAGGGCTTCTTGAGCTTATAGGCCTCTAGGGGGGTTTCTTGAGGGTCTTCTCGAAACATCGGCGAGCTGTTGGGCCCATCTTGGAGGGGAGGCTTCAGCTATCTGGCGGTGGCACGCTTTTTTGGGTCCCTTCTCTTCGGCCTGTCTCGGATGCTTCTTGGGCCCCTCTTCTCTCGGGGCGAAATATGGGGCCTCTTGGGTCGTCTTGGACGCTCTTGAGACAACAAGAAGGTAATGCTTCAATCACACCACCCAACACGCAGGTTCAAGCGACTTTAGCCTCCCAGGCCAGCCTCGAGGAACTCGAAGACTCCCCAAGAGACCCCCAAAACGGCTCCAGCTTGGGCTGTTGGGCTATCTTTGGGCACGTTCGACGTTTCATTTCCGAGCCGCATTACATGCATGTCAGCTCGGGGTCAACGGGGGAAGGAACGGGAAGTCAATGGGATGGGGTTGCCCCCCAGCCCGCCCGGCCCCTCCTGTCGGGGAAGGAACTAAATCAAAGGGGCTTTATTTCGATTCGATTGCGATTTGTCATGTTCGGTTTCTCTTGGGCTGGTGTGCCTGACGCGGATGACCAAAGGAGGCCAATGCAAAACGGGAATGGCTTCAATTGGAGAAGCCCCTCGCACACGCTGGCAGGGTCGGCGTTTTGTTGATCTCTGGAAGCCTCTGGGGGCCTGTGGGGGCTTACAAAAACCTGCCGACACGCTTGGGGACCCCGAGAGGGAAGATGCAAAAGAGGAGGAGGAGGAAGAAGAGGAGATGGAGAAGGTGGAGGAGGAGGATGAGGAGGATGAGGTGTTAGAACATAGCGTTGCGATTGGGTGAAAAGGATGTAAGTAATTGTTTAGTGGGCAAGCGGATGTGGTTACAGACGCCATTTGACGCAAGTGACCAAGCAGTGCAGAGTTTGTCCCTTGCCTTTTGACACATAACATGAGTCCGTTCCCGTGCACATCCTCTTAGGGATTTCTCGCGGTAGCGGGGTGGGATCAATGCGGCAGCAGCAGCAGCGCCCGCACATCCAGGAGACCCGTCTCCCGAGTTAAACACACCCCAATAGCGCGGTCAACTGCTTAACTCGAGTCCAGCGAGGTTTTGCCAGTTATGGGAAAGTAGCCGTGAGGGCCAATTATGAGGGAGTGCGAGAGTTCGTGGCGAGACAGACAGCCGAAGGTATTCATATTGTCACCTGGGAGGAAAGCTATGGGCTCTTGCCAATGAGTCAGAAAACGAACTCCCTGGTGGTACTTATCGTCGTCCGCAACATGTACGCATAGGATTTGCCAACACAGTGCAATAGAGAGTTGAACGCGTGGAAGAACAGACGGACGCGCACAACAATGAAAAATGATTAGGGCATCAAGATCGAAGAGTCACTCGTTGATCGTAAAAACAAAGCAGGGGGGCGGACATAAAACCAGTTAGCGAATACAAGGCCACGCAGCAGTTCAAAACCTGCGCGGGAGAGATAAGCGAGTTTCGTGAGTGGAGCGAGAAGCTCTCACACCCGCTGGCGCAGGTCAGTCCCTAGTGTCGCAAAGCTTTGAATAGTTTAGGATACAGACGTGAAACAATGGACTGACGAGGGTGGCGATGAGATGGTCAGGGTTCTCCATGGCAGTTTAATAACAGCGGGCTAATTAAACTGAAACCAGCCAGGCCAAACTAGAGTGCGGCAAAGGGGAGTTTGAAACATTGAAGACATGGTACATCAGCCGAACGGTGACATGTGGCTTATATTCAGCCACAATGTATATGGAGTGGGACCCCCTGAAAAGTTGGCGGGGGTCTGGACGGGGGACGGACTGCAGGCGTATCCAAAATTATGCAAGTGTTATCCCGCAGTTGTTTGAGTCACTCTGTCGGCCACGATGGGGCTTGCCGTGAACTTTGGCAAGCCGAAGACATGGTGACGTAGCCACTTATTTAGAACAGTTGTCGGCCTTGGTGGTGACCCTGGTGAAAAACTGCTTCATATTGCTCGTGAGTGTTGCCTTCGGAGTTGCGGCGCCGAAAACTATCGTGAAACGTGCTGGTGACTTGTTCGAGGGTTGGCGCCAGGGGTGCTGCAGGGCTCCGGAGTCACTCGCGCAAGAAGCTATAAAGCAACCGCGCGTTAAGAGTAAAGATTGGGCACGCGAGCTTAGATGCCGACGCTCGGAACCGCGACGCCATGGGCATCGGTGGAGTCGGCGGAACTCGCGTGGAACAGGTTGCACCTTGGATGCGCGCGAAGGCTGGGGCAAGGGGGATATGTGGACGAGGGCGGTCATTGGTGGGCAGATGTTCATTGGGGTCAAGAGGGCGAGGATGGAGGAGAGAGCGGCGTGGATGCAGTTAACAGGGGCATACGAAAAGGGGAGAGGGGCGCAAGTTTTCTCTCGGGCGCGTAGCTGCGAATTGCCGAATCGGATGAAGAACTCGAGAAGGTTATGGTGGGAACGAGGGGGGGGGAGATGACCTGCGGGAAATGCGTCGGATGGGGCGGCTTCGGCAGTTTTAGCAGCAAAGGGCCCGGGGGATGGAGCGCAGGGGGATAGGTCCCGATGGGCGACTGGGAACGTCGCAAGCGCGGGAAAATGAGGCATATTCCGGACCGGTGCGCAGACGATGGAAAAATGAGGTTGAGCAGCGCAAGGAGACAGGGCCCGAGCTAGACAAGCGCGGAGGAGCGGCTGGGGCGCAAAGCATTTCATTGGGGCAGAATGCCTGGATGTCATGGAGTGGACGCGCCGTGCGACCAACTTTGGTTAGGAAGATGGGCCCGGCAATGTCACGGGAGAAAGAAGAACAGCGCGACGATGAGGTCAGGAGTAGTGCGAGACAACGGAGAGGGCGCGTCGTGCCCGCGTTGCGGCCGCAACGGCCACTGGGAATCCAGAGTGCGCAGGAGTTGGCGATTGGAGAAGGACAGGCAACGAAAGAGCGCTGAAGTACAGTTGGTGGAAGCTCCTGGAAGTTCCAGGCGCCAGTCGCGAACGGGCGCGCGCGGCGCAGTTGGCGCCCCCGCCACGTGAGAGGATAGGCTCGATGGAGGAATTGCTCCGCGGGAGATGGGGGGCCGAGCGACAGTATTCCGGCCATCTCCGCAGATTCAATGTGTTAGGAGGAAGGGGCGGTGAGAGGGTGGAAGGTGGCCCATGCAGAATAAAATTCTTTTGATGCAGTGCAGTGGCACCAAGGTGACTCGGAATAAGGTGGTGCTGAACAGGGGCCGCGCCCGTGTTCAGCCAGAGGCGGGCGTGATCGCGTTCGCTGGCCTTGGGCGGGGCGCCCTCGAAAGCGGCGGCGATCCCGCAGTCGCGTCGCTCGAGGAAGCCGCCGAGCGCGCGTGGGATTTGATTGTGGGGGTTGAATTTGGCCCCGCTGGGGACTCGCGTGCCACTCGCGAAAGTGTGGGAGCTGTTCGAACCGTGTTCGGACAGTTCGGGCGATGAAGTTTGTGCTGGGCAGTGATGCTTTGGTTCAGTGGTTCGTGTCGCGCGCTTCGTTCGGCGCCGAACATACATGTGCCGGGAGCTGATGGAAAGGCAGCGCGTGCGAAATGCAGGGCGAGAAGTGCCAGCGAATATTTGCCGAACTTTTCGGAGTTATATATACACAACCAAGAGTAAGGAAGCGGGGGGGGGGGGGGGGGGGGGGGGATCCGAGTGCAGGCGCAGGATGGTGAGTGATGTGTTCTCGGGTATTGCAGAAGTTAGTCAAGAGCCCATCATTGGCACGCCATGGGCACCACTTAAGTCGCAGGCATTCAGGGGAAAATGGCGTGAGGAAGAGTAGTGACACATAGTTGAGGTAACGAGCATGACGGGGCTTCCGTGGCAACCCGACCCCAATTCTTCGGAATTTGATTTGAAAGTGAGGGTGATCATGCCCATTCTCAGGCAACCCAGGGGCGACGGCGGCAGCGACGCCGAGCCCATCTGGGCCCGAGGAGTAGCTGTTGGGGGTGCGGAGTGCTTAGCCATGGGTCCACGCCCAGACGGTGTGTCTATAAAGCCGTAGTAAGATGGGCGCCAGCCATTAGCGGCGCGGCGTCGAGTTCCGCGCGCGAGTCATCGAATGGCTAGAATAACGGGGCGATCCGAACGTCCAGGAGAGGCTGGCCTCAGCTCAAGTCAGACTGGAACAGCTTGCCCTAGAAGAGAGAAGCCTCGCGCCCAACGCAATGCCATGTTCGCGATCTCGTCGACGTTCTGACCCACAGGAATCGGATGGCCATGTGGCAGCGCAGCGTGCCCAGCGCAAGTTTGGGCGTTCCCTGCAGGTGCCCGCCGACCAGCATCAGAGAGCGAAGGCAAAT